AGTGGCCAGTTACTTTTTTAGTACGAACCCCAGACCCACTGCAACCTTCTGGTAAAATTGTGTGTTCCTTTTATCAGGAGAAAGGTATGTTTCCTTTGGGGTGTTAACTAAGAGGGGTTTGGAGACTAACATGGAATTTAAGTCTTCACAAAGATAGACACAATTTCTTATTTGGAAAACATAAAATTGTTGAGCAGTGTCTATAAAAATTGCTAACTTTAGGGAGTTGAAGGAAAGCTGTTAAAAGGCCCGCGAGTAAGGAAGCCAGGTCTCCTTTCTGTTTTTTCAGGTTTGGGAAACTAGATTGCACTTGGGACAAGCTTTCGAGATGGTAGTTTTGAGCTGTTTTTTAGTACTCTAGAATATGTATATCAATTTGTGTTTGGAGTTGAGTAATTAGCTTCTGATCCTATACTTTTTTGTGCAGCTGGGCTTGGGGTATTTAATTTTCATATTTTGCTGGTTTATTTTGCTTGTTTCCATATTTGTTTGTATTTTCCCCTTCACCTGTGAGAAAGTCTGGCAATGAGCTATGATCAGGGGGCAGAGTGCCGTGAGGACAAAGAGGGTGGCTTCCAGGAATGCCACCGACAGTTGAGTTGAAATGTGCACAGGTCTCCCCCTTGGCGTACCTTTGATTTGTATGGGTGTGATTCGTTTAGAGGGTCAGGCCTCTACAATCTGAAATGACAGGATGGTTGAGTTATGATGAAACCTAAGAGCTCAGAGCAGAAGGAAAGGATCAGAACCTTGTGCATGGAAGTGGCAAAAATGTGAGTACTTTCTATGAACTTAAAGAATGCAAGCAACTCTTTTGGATTTTGGATTTTCTATTTAGTGCTAATAAGGTGGAAAATACTTACAACAGCATTTTTCAGGGTCACATCATAAAGCCAAGCACGTTTTTAAGGTCTTACTCTGGTATTTTTTTTTCATTTGTTTTGAATAGTTTATACACTATCATTAAAAATAAAGCTGGCCAATTACTGTCATGGATTTTAGCTTCATAACTAATTATAGCTTCCCTGGTGAATACATGGACCCAGCAGAACGAACCAGCCAGTGGGGTTAGGTGGAGGCATTTAATTGGTTTTTGTTCTCTGGTTTTGGTTTTTGTAGCTGCTTTACCTGTGAGCTGGCATGTTTAGAAGGTGGGGTGGGCTCCTCTGAGACTATTTTCCCACAGTTAGGACCCTGTGTTGCCTGCACCAGGATTGATAAGTGTCTTCCCTAATGAATGAGAATGTTTCCTGCTCCCACAGGAGGCTGCTCCCCGAGTGAGGTACAAGTTTGCTGGTCAAACCCTGGCATCCACTGGGACTAGCGTAATGTCGTCTTGAGCAGCTTGGCCTTGGGGCACCCCCACTGTCACTTGGCCCATCACCACTGTCACTCGGCCCAGCTTTAGGTGTTTCCTGGGACCCTGTGGGGATCAGATGGTGGCATGCCCCTGGCGAGTGGACCTTACAGCGAGAAACGTCATGTTCTGCGTGGACTCTGGCTAGAAGACTTCTCTGGCTTTGGTTTCCTTAATTTTTTCTTTTTCTTTTTTTTTTAGCTGAGCCATCCTGCCACCTGTTGGCAGTTCAGCTCGGGCTGGGACTCAAACCACTGTTGCTCAGAGCTCACACTCTTGAGCGAGCTCTTAACCAACTGAGCCACTCGGCTGGCCCTCGGTTTCCTTAATTTTTTAATCTGAACAGTTAAGAGAAACAAAACCCAGATAGGCAAAATCCATGACAGTTCCTTGGAAAGAACCACTCAGCACCTGTGAGGTGACAGCCCTGTAAGAGGAATCTGGATACCCAAGGTGAATTTTTTAAAGGGTTTTATTTCTGTTTTGTTTTGCTTTATAGTTTGTGTGTTTTTAATGCAGACTGGAGATATCAGAAATTCCTAGTCCACTGATGGGACAGACAAGAAATGACCAGGGCTGATTAGTCTGTAAGAAAAGGTGTTAGTACTATAGGGAGACAGCTCTCCAGGAGCCTCTGTTTCTGCACATCTCATGAGGGAGGCACTCACTACTCTTTTGTTCTGGAAAATCTTTCCAACATGATGACGTCATCATGATGTCCATATTCTTTCTGTGGGGGCCCGAGGCCTGTGTGCTGTGTCTGACCCAGGAGTCTCGTGTCCTCTGCCAGCCCCCCTGACACTGTGGCAGACTAGCCCGTTAGCTGGCAAGCTGGGTGAAATCTCAGACCCTCCTCAGGTTTAGCCAGTTGCTCTAGTACTCTAGGAGAACCCCTTTTCGTAAGAATTGTGGAGAAACTGCTGAAATGCACGGATGAGACAAACATAGTTGACATAGAGGTAGTAATTTCTGTTTTAATTTTATCACATCATATGAATTACTGGAATTTTCCAAATCTCTGTGGCTTCTTATACCATTATCTGTAAACACCCCCCACCCCACCCCACCCGTCCCACCTAAAAAGGATTTTGGCTTTTATCTGGCTGATTTTTATCTGGTGTTAGAGCTCCTTGTGATTTGTTAGCTGAATGTCTACCAGTAGCTTTCTGCAAGCTAAGAAAAAATATAAATACTATCTATTTATCTGTATATGAAATACCTTCTCAATCGTCCAGCCAACTCAGCTATTTTAGAGGAATTATTTTGTGTTCTGAGGGAGGATTTTTTTCATGTCTGCAAAAAGCAGTCTCAGCTGGCTCAGTGTGTTTCCTAAGGGTCAGCCCTGGCCTCCAAACTTTTTCTTTTGATAGTCAGGAATTGCTTTAACTCTTTTTCTCAATACCCTTGAACTGGCCTTTGAAAGGTTTGTAGTATTTTAAAAGACTGAGTGAAAAGTGTGGCATTCCATGTTAAAAAAGAAGCAAGTCCAGTCAATATGCTTTGTGTGCTCCCCCAGGGGAGGCTCTGGGCTCCTGAGCAGGGCACGTAGGTACCCCTGCACGGCCTTCCACAAAATGCCCTGCACACCCGGCTCTCGTAACAAGGCTGCTGGTACCCCCTCATCTGTGGGCTGAGGACTGCAGGCAGCTGGGTCAGCTACTAGGCCACATGCCCCAGGTAGGGGCGGTCCTGGCTAACTAGCAGTTTTACCAGCTGGGATTGATCAGACACTTTCAGTTAGGAGCTGCCTGGGTCCGAACACCTACATTGGGACGCTTCTCTGTACGATGGCACCCACCAGAGTGTTGGAGAGTAACACACTTTACCTGAGACACGCCATATTTTCAGATGTGTTAAGTGAGGTCACCTACTGCTGTTGTCTTCTGAAAATAAGTAGAATTTTCTTTACCACTGATGTTGGTGTGACTCAGTGGTTCCCAAAGGTGTCGTCCCCAGAGCAGCAGTGACAGCATCACCTGGCACCTTTTAAAAATGCAAATCCTTAGCCCCATGGTGGAACTACTGAATTAGAAACTCTGGGGTAGGGCCCAGCAGTGTCTAGTTTAACAAGTTCCCCTGGGATTCTAATTCACACTATAGTTTGAGACCCACTGGTGTTGCTCAGGTCAGGTGAGAATGAGGATAGTTTGGTTACATGTAGGGAAAGAAAAATTAAGGGCGGTGCTGAAACGTCTTAAGGCACACCGGTGGCATTAAATACATCTTCGTTTAAGAAATCTATCTAATGCCTGTCCTATGGCAGGCACTATTAGAATACAAGTCTGAATAAAACATTCCACAAATATTTCAGGATCTAGTGTAGGGGCAGACAATCTGTGGCCTACATGCAAAATTCAATTTGCCACATGTTTTTATAAATAAAGTTTTATGAGGCACAGCCGTATCTGTCCATTTCTTTATTGCCCGTGGCTGCATTCAGGCTGCAATGCAGAGTTGAGAAGTGTGACGAAGACCCCATGACCCACAAAGCTGAAAACATTTAATTGACTAAAAGTCTGTTGACACCTGGTCTAGTTTCTAAAGGGAAAATGCTTTCCATATTCCAAGTAGTTAAACGCTAGTGGAGCTGAGGGGTGAGTGTAGGTCACCAGCATTCTTCTGTCATCGAGGGATCTATTTGTGTAGAATTTTTCTAGTCACAGAAAGTTTAGCTTCATGGACGTGACCATCAGGGAAGGTGCACAGACTGACAAGGAGCGGAGCACTTCCTGGCAGAGCACCGTGGTGTGTGAAGGGGAGAAGGGGTGTGTGAACAGATATAGAAATAGCAGAAGGAAGAAATGAAGAAATGGAAAAAGAAAACCTTGGTTGAGAAGGGAGGATATTATCAATCAAAAGAATGTGACTTATGTAAAAAGCTAAAATGAAGGAGTGAGTACAAGGCAAGACTAGAGAAAGGAATTACTAAGGAGAGGGGTGTGGGTGTACAGCATTCCCAGCTGCCTGGCTGGACGTGGGGACCGAGCCTCCCAGGGGATCCTGGGGTGCTGGAGGGGGGCAGAAAACGGTGCAGGGTTCTGAACTGGGCTGGGCAGAGGCACCGTCGGCTGCTCTGTAAGTCCGTATGTACTTGCACACTTGTTGATAATAGGGACCAGTATATTCCTTACTCTGTCCTACATCCTTGCTGATAACTGACCAGCTGTGTAAAGATGCTGTATAAAAAATTTTTATAAAGTGCTGGGTTTCCCTTTAGGAGGCCTGGTTTCACCTGTGATTGCTGGACTTTGGGCAAATCATTTCATGGCTCAGGGCCCCCCTTCCTGCTCTGCGAGTTACTGCTTCCGGCCTCCCCCTGCACCCACACTGGTTCCGCTGGACTCGCTCGGCATGGAGGGGCATTGCTAAACCAGCGGGCACAGTGTTTCCCCAGCTCCATGGCCGAGAGAGCAAAGAAGGGAAGGCTAACAGACGCTCGGGCCCCTCTGAAGGCGGCACCGTTGACTCGTCTGGCCCAAGGGCATCGCTTCCCTGGGAAGACCTGGCGCTAATTTATCTCTAGCTCACACCCAACAATAGACCTCTCCTCTCGCCGAAGAGACTGTTTGCTGTGGAAAGGCTCAGAGAGGGGTAATGGCCAGCTTGGATTCCATGACTTTGATAACGTCTCTCGTTCTCACAGGAATTTTTCTTTAAATGTGGAGCACACCCGACCTCTGACAAGGAAACATCAGTAGCTTTGAACCTGATCACCACAAACAGTCGCGGTATCACCTGCATAACGTGTACGGACATCAGGTAAGGGTCTGAAGCACGGCCACTCTCCACGTCTAGATATTTTCCGATCATACAAGCCTCCCTCAGTGACTTCTTTCTTGAGGAGTGTGTGCTTTACGGGGCTGCTGTCTGCCCAAGCTGGGTGTGTGTCACTGTGACGAGACTTCCAAATGCCAGATCCTTAGTGCAGTCACATAGGATCCTCGGATATGAGCGAGATGACATATCTAAAAATAGTGTAATCTGAGGCTAATATTAAAATAGAAACACGTACTGATACCAGTAAATTCTAAAATAATTTAAAACACGATGTGAATGTTAGAAATGAAATAATTTATGCACACCATTATTTTTGGAATGTGTGGCCCATAATGTTTTGTTTTAAAAATGCCTTTCCCGTATACTTCCATTGTTCTGCATATCTGTGTTTATATTGGTGTGTCACATACATTCATATCCCCAAAATAAAGCGTGGAGCTAGCTTTGGACCTGGTTGCTTCTAATCTCAGTGGGTAGAATGAAAGCAAGAAAATGTGGAGATGGTCTGCTAGAAAAAAAGGGAGCCTGACTAGATCTGAATTGCAGTTTCGGAGGCAGGGACAAAGTCGAAGAATCTAAGCCTATTTAATCTGCAGGGTGGACGGTTGAGAGTGGAATTCCTTCCTGTACACTATTCAGGTGAGCAGAGTAAAAGAAATTAGCTCTATTACATATTCTCTGAGGTTGTCTGGAAGCAAGTTGCAATAGACAGGGCTTAGCCCTGATAAGAAAGAACTTTTAGTGAATGCTGAAATGAATTAACGAATAAAGTCAAAGAATATATTTTGTTCCCGACTTTAAAGCAAAAACAGCCTTATAACCTCGTCATTTAAATGTTGTCTCTAGAATTTGGGACTAGATGGCCTTTTAAAGCTCCTTTAAATTCTATAATTTCATGATTAGCAAGTATTAATACTCCCAATATGGTACTTCTGTTCTTTAATAAATTTAAATAAAAATGTTGACTAATGGAAACCTAAAAACCTTAACAATATCTGTTGAACAAACCTGTTTCCAAGAAGGAGTAACAATGAGATGTTTTCCTTTTGCTGCATATTTAATTCTAACTGAGGCAAGGAAGCCCACGGTGTTCCCTAAAATGCAGCGTTTCGGTCTCCCTGGGCAAGGTGGATCATAGCCTGTGGGTATTGCTTTCCACATGTGAGAGGAACAGCTGACTCGCCTGATATTTCAGGAACAGAATTGGAAAGGGCTAGAAATGAGGGCTCACTGCTCCGAAAGCACTAGGAAATTAAATCACTTCTCAGTTTCTCAGAAGAGAAATTCAAAATATTTGTCTGTAAGTAGCAATGCAGCCCCCAGCCAATATTTTAAAACCTTCCATTAAACTTGATAAAGATGGCATTACAGTATGTAACCTTGATCATATTATCGTATTATCTTACTATGAGCATTGCCCTCCATGTTTCCTGCTGCTAAGCTGCCACCTTTACATGAATAACTCACAACATTTGGAGGAAATGAGCCTCCTCCCAGATACATGTTGAGATAATTGCTGGAATAATAATATTGTGTGTTGCAATAAAAATGTTTCCGATTATTGCTTTTGAGGGATTTTAGAAATAGAAGCTACTATGTTTGGTTAGATTTAAGTATGTATGTATAACCAACCGTGTGAATGGAATATGCCCCTTCTCATAGAAGGCAGCAAGGGGATGTTTTTATGGTAAGATAAAAGAACGCTTTCTTCTTATGGTGACGTGTTCATGCCTGGGGATGTCGTAAAAGCCTGCTGTCACCAATACACTGCATTGTGCTTTGCTAATTGTTGTGGGGTTTTTCCTGCCAATGCTTTTTTTTTAGATTTAGAAATAATTCACTCACAATAACATTTTTTTAAATGTTAGAAAAAAGTACCCTTATGGTTAGTAAAACTTTGGTTTAATTCTTTCCAGTACCTTGAATATGCCTGAATATTTGCATATATATGATGGCTCTGTGTGTGTGTGTGTGTGTGTGTGTGTGAGCATGCGTGTGTGTGCACGCACGTGCGTGTGCTGTCACAGTCACATATGTGCGATATACTCGTATACATATTTCACTTTTGGGGTGCTAATGTAAAAGATAGTGTGTGTTTAATTTCAAATTCTACTTGTTCATTGTTGGTAGATAGGAAAGTTGTTGACTTTTAATATGCTAACCTTGTATCCTGCAAACTTGCTATGATTGCTTATTATTTCCAGTAATGATTTTGTGGATTCTTTTGGATTTTCTGCACTTATTTTCATGTCATCTGTGAACAAGGGCAGTTTTAGTCTTTCCTCCTAATCTGCGTACCTTTATTTACTTTCTTGCCTTATTTCATTAGCGTAGACTTCCAGTATGATGTGCTAAAGGAGTGATGGGAAGAGCTCATCCTTGCCTTATTCCTCAACTTACTGGGAAAGCTTCGAGTTTCTCACCATTAAGCATCACATTATCTGTAGATTTTTGGTGTATGGAGTTTATCAAGTTGAGGAAGCACCCCCATTGTTCGTAATTTACTGACAGATTTTATCACGAATGGGTGTTGGATTTTGTCAAAATTTTTTTTGACTTCTATTGATATTGTGTGATTTTTCTTTTTTTATTTGTTGATGTGATAGATTGCATTAATTCATTTTTTGAATATTAAGTTAACTTTACATAACTAGGATAAATCCCACTTGACCATTGTATATAATTCTTCTTATACTTTTTTGGATTTGATTTGCTAATATTTTGTTGAGGATATTTGCATCTATGTTCATGAGTTATTGGTGTGTAGTTTTCTTGTATTGCCTTGGTCTAGTTTTGGTATTAAGGTAATGCTGGCCTCATAAAATGAATAAGGAAAATATTTATTATGCTTCTATCCTCTGAAACAAATTGTAGAGAATGGGTAACAAGGTAAGAATTTCATTCATTTGTGTGCTTTACAAACATATATTTTTATATAAGAAGAGATTGACATCTTTTCCATCTATTTTCTTAATCATAATTCTTTACCAGTGTATAATAACTTATATTCAAGGAGCTCCAGAGCCAGTAAGCTTACCTTTTGACGTTAGGAAAATAAGATGATCTCTTCGGCTTTTGGGTTTCTTATAAAATCCAAGAATTGAAGTAGGTTATCTATAAGGCTTTCACTGGTTCGAAAGGACTGCTAATGGTAGAGACAGTGCTTGTTCACAGCTCATTCATCGATTGCATCATTTGAAAAAAATACTTATTTGTGGGTCCTATCTGCTGCCAGATGCAGAAATAAAAGATGAGGTTTTCAATGATAACTGCCTTCCAGATCACACACATGTGGCTGTTAATATGTAGAAAAAAATATATATAAGATAGACGTGCTCTTCATTTCCAGGGGTTCGGCTTGTTTCATCCAGGTACATGATTCCATTCAGGTACATGACCTGTGTCCTTTGAGTTTACACTGTATGTAAAACATTTTCCTCTCTCTTAGAGGAAATGGTGAATTATTTGAAAACCAAAACATCCTGAGGTTTTATACAACCCAGCAGGCTCGCATCTGCCATCCAGCCGTGCAGCCTCCTCTAATTATCTACAGTAGTGAGGCGATCTCCATCCACTCTGGGTGAGCAGGCGATAGTCTTACATTTATGAATGAAAAGCACAAAGCTGAGCCAGGAGCTGCAAGTGCAGCACTTGAGGGTAGAACGGCTGGGTGGTCACGCAGTTCCCGGAGAATTACATGGAAAAGGTTCAGAACGTTCCTGGATGCCTCCGTTTGACTCAGGAATAACATGTTGAGCCACAGTCAAATGGCACGGCCAAAGCCAAGTGACACATTTTTACCCAGCCAGTGTGTGTCGCTTGGGGCTCACCCTGATATCGGGGACCTCCCGGGGGAAAACACATCTGCACCTTGAATTTGATGTACAATATCCTTCTTAAAATTTAAAAGTGTAAAACTTGAAATCGCACAAAATAGAAAAATCATTACCATGATATCATTTGTCAAAAGGAAAAAAGCCATCTTCACCCTTTCCCCTCTTTCTCCTTCTAAGGCTGCCTGGTGTTCCCTGCACTTTTCACCTTTATTCGTCATTTCTCAGTTTACAAAGCTGAACACAAACTAAAAACTAAAAATAAAAAAAATCACAGTCAAACTTAACCTTCTAGAAACATGTTTTAAAGTCCAGTTCCCAGTAGGATATTAAATCTTAGAAGCAGTGCTGCCTTGTCATTTTTCTCAATCCTTTCACTAAAGTCTTATGGTTTTGATGTCACTGTTGTTTGATATAAATGTTTTTTTATAATATTCTTGCTTCAAATTTGTCCTAAAATTCCTTCACCCTTTTTAAGCAACGCTGCCTTGGGTTGCAGACTTGAAAGATTTACTTGGGCTCTGAGAGTAGCTCAGTCCATTTGTACTTGCTTGTGGTGTTCCTGGGGGAAAGTGATTTAACTGTCATTTGACAGGATTTGGGTATGCTTTCATTTATCCATTCACTCGTTTAACAAAGAGAGACAAGAAACAGGGATCTTACTTTCCCTTTGTCTTGTCTTCTTCTCTTGTCAATTCACATTTAAATTTTTGTTATATGTGGCATTTCTTTTATGATTTAGATTTAATCTGTAAATTATGCTTCTTTTTAATTTTTGAGACATTGCTGAATGGCTATCTTCTATCAACTTAACCCTTTCTTGACATTTTGGGGTCAAATGGAAACTGAACACCTTATCAAGGCACCAGGCTCTGAAGAGTTTTGTCCAAGTCTCCAGATACACTCACATTCAGTTGGACTGAAATCCTTAACATGGCCTTTTTCAGTAAGTGGCTTTATTTCTGTGATGGAAACAATGCTGGAATTGTGTTGACGTGATACAGCACTAGAGTAGAGACCTTGGCACATACTGACTATATATTCCTCTTATTAGATCCAAACAGTAGGTACACTCCTAGGTAATGTAACATGCCAGCAACAAAAGATATTGTCATATAAGTATGGGGGTGTCTCAGAGTGTCCATTCTG